TTGCCAGTGGGGAGAGGAGCCAACATGTCTTTTCAGTCAACAAACGCCTTCAGTGCAGCCCTCTTAATGACAAAGTACTCTCAAAATTACTGACTGGTTTTAGAGGAGCTGCCACTGTTGACTGTAATCACACCTAAATCCAAGTGAGACTGTAAATATTAATCAAATCAAACATCTTCTAAATCATATATCATGGCTATCCGAAATAAAAAGATGAGATATTCAAATGTTGAAACTATAAAGTGTCACTTGGGGTTTTGTTTTTGTTGGGGTTTTTTAATGCATGTTTGCTTTGCATTTGAGAAAAGACCTGGCAACAACAAAGTCACAAGACAAAAGGAGTTGTGAGGGTAAAATAGGAAACCACAAAACAAATTGGATCTATTCCTAAGAGGTCAATAACATGAATTGGTATCAAGAGATCAACCCAGAGAGATTGGTTGTATAATGAAAAATCCCTGTATTCAAGTGACGAGATCAAAATACAAAACTGGAAGGCGGTGATCTGTGGGCTTTCAGGTGGCACTACACGTGAAACAACAACCCTGGAGTAGACTCAGGAACTCTCCTAGTAGCTATTGCTGTTGTGAATATACAATTGTGGCATAAACACACAAGCAAGGTCAACTTCTGCATGCAGCAGACAATAGAAACCATCTTGTCAATTTGCTAGATTAAAATTTTGAATAGATGAACTCCGACCATTTCAAATATATTTGTTCAAGCCGTCAATCTGGAATAAGTCAGGAACAGCATTATTAGTCACAGTTAAAAAAAAAAATAAAAATAAAAAATAGAAACAGCATGTAAATAACGAGGTATTTAAAATGGGTGGACACTCACAGGCTCCAGCTGTTAATCTTGTCTCTTAAATGTGTCCAATCTGCCCCAAATTTCTCATCTTGTCTTTTTTTTTTTTTTTTTATTATTTCGATTTTATTTTCTCTCTCTCAAATGCGTGGATTTTTTCAGTTTATTGGTATTTAGCGTTTTGCTTTTACAACAACATCTGGACGTTAAAAGGAAGAATGAGCATTGCTTCACACATAGATGTTTGCAGTATGTTTGTAATGCATGTTTTATTTAGACTGCCCCCCCCCCCACCCCCAAAAAAGGCTAAAAGAACCAGAATCTTTTCGGATATTCAAACACTCAAAAAACTACTTTGTCCCATGTTCAGCAACTTGTTTCATATTTTAAAACCTGGTCAATACATTCCAATTAAAAATCCACCTATCAGGCTTTTATTGGCTGATACCAATTTCCGGGAATCTCAACGTCAGCCCTGCTAACTGTGATAACCTAAACCCTCTTTCTAAAGAGTATAATACATGTAAATTAATTTGAGTAAACTTTGTTCTCAAATTCATCAATTAAATGTAACAAGCACTGACCATAAAGACACAGAAAAAAAAAAAAAAAAACTGCGGGTTCTTTGATAAAGGTAATAGTTTTGAATTCCAACACAAAAATGAAGGGATTACAAGATTATCCTCATTTACGCATCAAAGCATATGCCCATTTATTTTATTTTTATTTTTTTTCGCAAAACTCAAAACAAAGTGCATCAAAGAACATTGTGCTCGTTGATGCACTTACGGACTGAAAAGAAGAAGAGCTATTTTAATCATTTAATTAACAGAAGGGCGGGAAAAAAAGTAAAACTTTTCTGGGGGTCACAGGTTAAGAAGATTGGTCACAGGAAAATTTGCTGACTTTGATCTTTTGCTCATTGTCTTATTGGTACAGTATTAGCTTAAATCTATAGTTATTCATTTGATCTTCTTTTATAAAAAATGAACTAATAAATCATTAAGCATAAACCCAAAGTGAGCAAAAAGATATCTACTTCTTTCCCTTACCCTTTATCTTTTATCCATTATATGTATTAAACAAATGTTTAAGAAACTTTAAACATTTGTTTAATGCTTGAAGAGCAGAAAATGTATGTTTCCCCCTCTTTTTTTTTTTTTTTTGACAAACAGAATAGACATTTCTGTTTTGACACATTTTACTTCTGGTTTCTAATTACATTTAGTCCAGTTGATTTTGTTTATCGGTATACTTTCTATCATTAATATTTGTACAGTGATTATTCAACCACCAAATATAATAGATTTTGTTCTATTAAAATGATGATTTACTTACATTACTTTTTAAATTTGATTATTCCCATGCTGACAAGCTGACCAAGTAACTTCCTGAAAAAAAACACCTGTTTCATCAGCAAGTAAAGTAATTTTAAGCAAATTTGACAAGACAACAATCACTAATGTAGAAAGTAAATAACAATAGGACGTGTATGGGACCATGTAGGCCCTCCTCATGTGATCTTCAATATATCTGATTTTGCATTATTTAGCTACACACACACACACACACTATCTTTCATCTACACAATTCTTAAGTCAAGTGCATGCTACTCCTGACATTCCAGATTTTTTCAGTTTTTCCCAATAGCATTCCAGTAAAATGTCTTAACTGCTGCTTTTGATGTGGAAAACATTTTTTTAATCTTTTAACACTCCTCTTGTACAACCCTTACTTATTGCAGTTCCGTCAACTAGATTAATGTCATTACTGTTGATTTGTTTGATCCAAACCAATACTCACATTTATTTAACAATTTATGTTTTTCTATGAGAGTCTCGTGATATAACCTTGAGTGAAAAGACAACAGTAATGAATTACGTGATCTAACTGCTTTTGCTTCGAGCCTCACTGATAGTGTGCAGCATTTGTCAGAAGGTCAACACCACGCTCTATACAGATCCAGTTTCCAAAGAAAAATTATCTCGATGCTCTATGAGCCACTATAAAACTATCAGAAAGTGATGATATTCCGAACACAAACGTAATTCTGGCGTAGCTGCAGGTTTTAGGTGCTCTCTTCACGCCTCCTTCTTTGTCCAAGTGGATGCTTAACATCACCACAGAGAGGTTGGCATTGTTAAAATATTTGGTCTCTGTTTTATAGGGATGAAGACATTTCTAGAAGTGATGCTAAGCTTTTTAGAAAGGGCCCTTAGGCTCAAGTCTTGGTTTTTTTCTTTATAGCTATAAGAAAACATTGTACTGCCAGTTTTGTGTCATAGCGCAGGTTTCCAGGTGTATGCTGATGACACTGTATGTACCGAGTAAGATATTCCATCGGAATCAGCACAACTGTCTTGGTATTTGGAGTTTATTGCAGGATGGTTTCTAATTCACGTTAAGCGTTAAAGGTGAAAAAAATCTGTGTTTTTGTCTTCTTTCTCAGGACTGGACTTTTATTAACAGTAATTTATTTGATCGATATATTTTGTCTTTATTTTTATGAATTTGCATGCATAAATGAAATGACCAAACAAACATTATTTAGATGAAAATACGCAGAATTACTGTCCAAATGATCTATAAACATAAAGGGTAGCTTTTATAGATCAGTGGTTTAAGACCGTTACAAATCCTGCATTGGAAAAGCTGCGCAACAAAGGCAACACACACACTGATCGCCAACACAGCATCTCTAACTAGTGCTTTAGTAATATGTCACCATATCTTGTTATGTACAAATAACTCCAGGACTGTTTCCTTGTATTGGTCAGACTTTCATTATTGTTGTAAATGTTTTTGTTTTGTTTTGTTTTTTTTAGTCGGTGTTGTACAGATAATAGTTCTGGTTGGAACACTGACTTTTTTTTCTTCCCTGGACACAATATGTGATGTTATAGAGGAAGCATCTTGCTGTCAGCACATATAGAGGTTGAATGCTTAACATTTTATAGTGTACATTACAGGTTGTTTCCACCCTTTAATACAGTATAAATAAATTTAAAAAAAAAATGTTATACCACTATAATTCTCTCTTTTTTCTAATTAGAACGGAGTATTCTTTCCACACATAAACAGTAGACGCAATATTACAGTTGAGAAAAGCATGACATTCATTTATAATTGTAAATCAGATAAGGCTTTTTTGTATGTTTTGGCATCTGATTTCTGGCAATTTTGTATTATTTATAGACGTATATAGAGAAGTTTCTAAATCTAAACCTAGACCATTTTTGGACTTAGTCTTACTTGGTCCAGGATGAAATACAAAGTTCTAAATTTGGACTATGCATGGACGCAACAGTTACTTAAGCAGATTGAGGTGTAGCTTCCGTGTTGACAAGGTGTATTTGCTCAAGTGGGAATTTGAATATTTAAAAGAAACTTGTGCGAGTACGGCACCAAAACTAACTCCTGGGTCTGGGTCTTCCTAAATCCAACCCTGCTTATTGCAGTACAAAAAGACAACTAGTAAATTCAGTTTACCAGGTTATCGACGTATGCAGAGGAGCATTAATCGCCCCTCATACACTGAACAATCTATATTCTACCCAACAGCGCTGACTATCGCCCCGCCCCCTCCGCCCTCCACCTCAACACATGACCGCAAAATTACAGGTCGACTTGAACTGGCCACAACTACAGTAAGCCGGGAATAAAACTTGGGCCACCTCATATGGCGGCGTCCAAACTAACAAAACCCTGCGGCTTGCACAATCTGATTAATCCCAAGGGGATGTGAATAATGGGGGTGATGTCTTAAAGAATAACCTCTTTTAACAGATCCCTTTATTGTGTTAAAAGAAATTCCGCTTCGACTGAATAAGCCGACGTTGGGTCGCCGAGACGAGAAAGAAAAAGGGGGAAAAAAGGTCACAGAGCCGGCGGACACAGATTCAGCTGTATCACGTTGACGCAGGGATAGTTTGCGCCACACTCCAGCTGCATAATCAATAACATGCACACAAATCACGGAGGCTGAACGTGTCCAAACGTCGGACGCTCTTTTAATGTCGGCTCGGCCCAGCAAGCGAACAATTCAGCAAAGCGTTACCCATATGGGGGGGGGGAGGTGGGAATCCTATTTCGTCCAGCAAAACTGGCGTCAACAATAGACAGCGACTCTATCGGCTAAATACATAACAGCTGCTAAAAAAAAAACAAAAAACCTTGTTGCAAGTACTTACCGGGTTGACAGTCTTTGTGTTCGGGCAAGGTTAAAAACAGCAGGGTTAAAATCCACCAGTGACTCGGTTCCCGTATTTTCCGCATGTTAGACTACTCATCGAGAGCAACAAGAAAAGGCAACGGGTGATTAAGTTAGTCTTTTTTTTTTTTAACCCCTCTCTCCTCTTCCTCTTCTTCTGCTGCTGCTGCTTGTCCTTTAGAAAGAATCACACGCACACACTGAAGCCGAAGTTGGCACGGCGGCCACGAAGGCAGAGCATCAAAGTATAGAAACGGTTTGACGGTCACAGGATACAGTCACTGATTTGAAAAAGCCAGATTCACTCGCCTCCGGACCGAGCACGGGCTGCTCTCCTTAGCTTCGAGGAATAAAGCGGCGAGCACGCAGAGGCTGCGCGAAAACAATTCAAAATCTCTTGTTGTTGGAGTCCTCCGTGTCTGCAGCGGGCTTCCACATAGCGACATTCCCGAAGTGTAGGGAGAAAAAGCAGGAGGAGAGGGAGAAGGGAGTGGGTGAGGGGGGGGAGTCAATCGGCAATCAATCGCTGTCTTTAACTACAGGAAAAAGTGGTCGAATATTATTGATCATACGCGGTCATTATTAAGTGATTATCCGCGGCGTCAGCGAGACCGAGGTTGAAGGAGAAAAGTGTTGCTGGAAATGTCCCATTCTTTTGGTCCAGGAAGTAGTCTTAGCGGTCAGGCGTGCACGGATATGTGGCTACTGCTCTGCTCTGGTCCCATCCTATCCGGACGGACTGTGTGTGTGTGTGTGTGCGTGTGTGCAAAAGAGAGAGAGAGGGGGGGGGGGGCATGAGAGAGGGAGTCTGGACGGGGCGGGCGCAACGGAGGCGGTTCCTGGATCTGCTGAATGCAAAATGACAGGGAACGGACCCAGAGGTTAGTTTCTAAGATGTTATGATAGGAAACACTTCAAATAAATACATAAATACATTTCTTGTCTAGGACTACGCACAATCTGCACTGGATCCAAGTGGCCGTTTTATAAATTGCAGTTAGAAATACGCAGCAGCATCCAGATTACCTCTGATTTAATTGCAACGTATTTGAAGTTTGCAGTTCTACTTTTACCTCAGATTTGTTTATTCCCCACTGCTACTTAGGTTTATTGGTAAAAAAAATAAATAAAAAAAATACACAAGGAGGCACTTTTCTTCACTAAACAAATGAAAAACAAAACAACTTAAATATATCAACGAACTAATGCTAACTTAATTACTCTCAGAAGAAAACAGTTTGAGTTACTACATTTAAATTACCTTTGAGATTTATTTGGTGTTATTAAAAGTGCATTCTCCAAACTCAACACAAAATGCAAGTTTTAATGAACTGTCGGAGCCTAGGCACATTTCAACTCCTCTATGCACCAGCTAGCTTTCTATGCTAGCATGGTGCATGAGGAATCTTAGCCCAGTTTTCAATGACAAAGGGTCCTTGGGTCTCCATGCTGCAACTATCAACATTCATTTATGGCACTTTCACACTTTTTCCTATCTTGTAAAACATTCTGACATTTGAGAAGAGACACGTCGTAAGTATTTGTGCCTTTTTTTATCCACTTCCAAAAACCTTGTTAATGGCGGAGGTCAGTGAGGTGGAGTTCATAGTGTTCTTCTACATCAGGGGTCCCCAAGCTACGGCCCGCGGGCCGGATCTGGCCCGCCTCCTCATACCAGAGAGCATTCAGTGTTTTTTTTCCATATATTGTATTTTCCAGTTTACATGTGGATTTTTCTTCAACCACCAGGGGTGCTCTTGAGCAGATGTGAAACTAACTTTCCCTCAATGGAATATATACTAGTCAGTCCCAGTGACCGTTTCACTCACGGTTTTTTCCATTTGCATTCTGGGTAAAAATCTACCTAAAAGCGCGAATGTGTCGTTGTGTCGTCGCGCCCCCATTCCCCATCCCCCCCCTCCCCCCCGTCGAAAATAATTTTCTAAGGTTTCTTTCTCCAAAAACTAAGACCAGAGAAAGGAACAGCTATGTGGCCCTCGCAGGAAAAAGTTTGGGGACCCCTGTTCTACATCATCACCAGGTGTATTACTTTTTCGTGATGCAGTCCTTTTGTTTTCGTTTTCATAATTAGGAATATTCTGGGAGTTGAATTTCAGAGAACTACTGTATAACTACGCCCAAGTAGTTCAGTAATTATTAGGCAAATATTTCAGATGGTAAATAATGCCTTAGGTTTCAGATTAAACTGTCCCACCTCCCAAGTTAAATAAAACATCTACACATCCTTGTGTGGGATTAAGCAGCAACTTTACTGGGTCGTAGCTGCAACCTTTGAGTTCATTATGCAGCAGTAATGAATATGTTTGGTAAACATGATGCGTGTGAGCTGGAGTGTCCATGTTGAAGTATTTTTTATTTTTTTCAACATGATCAAAAATCTGTTCCAGGCAGACTTTTTTCTTATAATCAGATTGTTTGTACTACAGTTAGTGTTGCAGTCAAGACCAGATAAAGCCAAGGACAAGATCTTAACTTTGAGGGAGGGCACACCAAGACCAAGATAAACCTAACGAGAGACAAGACCTTTCCTCTGATCATCACTAAATATTTCTTCATGCAAACACTTGGAGATAATCTGCCTGCTACAGTTTGCCATAGGCTGTACCTATTACAGGACTACAGAGCACAGCCTGTGCCAGTGGTGCCTAACTAAGTTGTGTTATGTTTTATTGCCACAACATTTAGGTGAATGCACACTTGTATGTGAACAGAGCCAACTGCATACCACTTGTCCAATAAAACTGACAAGGTGTTGACTAGACAAACAGACCAAGTACTTTGAAGTGTGCAAACATACAGTTAAACATTAACTTCCTTGGCTGCAGTAGGTGGCTATCTACAAAGGAGTAATCACTCGCGTATCCGTGTAAAAGTGTGAATATGACTCTTACGAATTTCATTAACTTTTTCCAAAATAAAACGTAATCTTTAAGGAGTTCATGTTTTGCTAGAAGCACAAATGCATAAAAAATAAGATATGTAGAATGTGGAGCACTGTATGCTTGCTCTTTTCTAATAAAATCCGGTTTATTAAAAGGTTTCAAAATAGCAAATCACAGCATAGTTGGTACTGTATTCTTTAATACCACACATGCTGCTACATGTGTGGTAGCTCTACAGTATTAGGTGTTAACTGTAGAGCCTACTGTACTGAAAGCCTGTTGGTTATATATCAGCACCAATATTTTCCACCTAGCAGTACATTTGAGCCGAAATCTAAATATTTTTATTGTTTTGTACTGGATGTAAATTCTACTATTTTATACTAGAGAGGAGAGAAAAATCTATCTTCTGTTTCAGTCTTCATCTGGTTTCTACCCAGTGCATGATGTTTTTTTTCTTTTCCAACAATGTACTTTACATGAATTTCTTGATGATACCTTGACTTCGGATAGAAGTCTTGTATTTGCCACAGTACTTGTACAGTACAGTACTTAACTGTGGATCTTCTCTTATTGGCATGCTGGTAATCACTGGCTGAACCTTTGCCATTTTGGCTCCGCTTTGATCCATCTGAATAGTAGTTTCTTTTTTGTTTCACAGCTTTCTGATTTTGGTTTCCATATTACAGCGTAATAGGAGAGCATTTTAGCTGTGCAGTCTATTTTTTGCGCTTCTTTGTATATTGTTTCCTCTTCAGCAAACTTTCTGACCAAAGAATACTGTTTTTCTGAGCAATTTCTGCAATTACACATTTTACTTTACAGAACAGAGGCTCTATAATATTTGCTGACTTCATCCTTACATAACATCTGCATGTTTAACTCCTGTTTGCCACTAAGTGAATGACCTCTGATTAAATATCAGCCTGCTGATGTTTTAAACACACCCACATTTCAGTTAATGAAATCAGCAGTGCGTATATCATGATAACATCTTCTAAAAACAGTGACTGATTTGGTTAGGGATGTTGGACCGCTATTATCTCGAGCATAACTGTATACTGATTTAAACATGATGCAGTATTTGTGTGTGAAAGCCCTGTCTGGGACTCAGAAAAAAGCCTCCTGCAAATTGTTGCTTCCCCCCAGCTCCCATTATTAAAATGACCCCTCTGTGGCCACACATGATGCCCCTTTGCTTCCTGCTGGGAGAATTGTGAATGGAATACTTTTGCAGTAATCATCACCTGGAATAGGCTATCATCGCGTGGCAAGTGTGTGTGTACGTGCCGATTGGAGAATTACGCATCCATACTGGTGATACTCCCTTAGGTAAATGTGTAGTCAGTGGTGTTCTTGCAGAACTATCCAGCTGGACATTTAATTTGAGGAATCTGATTAAATTTCTCATTTAATTACCTAGTTCTCTACAGGGCCATTGAGGACAGTCACAAGGGCCCTTTGCTTTTAATGTGGGCCATCTGCTTCCTCTCCAAAATGCCTACCTTTTCAAAGACCACACAGCCTCGTGGGCATCCTCGACCATGATTCTCCAGGCTGTGCCACCTCCACACACACAGTGAAGCATCACCGTGCTCAACAATGGCTCCGTACCTGAGTGTTTCCACACCGATCATGTGCAATTAACCTGAGCAGAAGTTTAGCAATACTCCTCCTCAGATTCATTTTCCATCTTGTTCTGTCAGATGCCAAAGAGCAAGGGCAACTCTTTGATTTATCAGACAGACTCCAAAAGTGTTTTGTGCAGTGGACCCAAAACAGTGACCCCTTATGTAGCTGTAAATCTCTCCAGACCAATACATCATCAGAAAACATCGCAAACAGCCCACTTTTCAGTGAGCCAAACCACAATGTCACATGCTTTTTTATACTCTGCTAATCAGTTAGCCTTTTTTTGTTGTTGTTATTGTTAATTTTGGGTTATCTTTTTTATCACTTTGCCTTACATGGCACAAAACAGTTGGTTTTGAGCAGTTGGATGGGCACTTTAACTATGTTCTCCTTTTAAAATTGAAATAAGATGGAAACAAATGCAAAAGTTTAGAGAAGAAGAGATAAATCACTGTAATGAATAGGTTAATAAATTTCAACACTAAATTCAGGGACACAGAATTACCTTCGGCTCAATTTGTCAGAATCCATTTTCCCTTTCACAAGAAAATTTATTTTCATACAGTCAATATGTGAACTCTGAAAAATATTCTATTGTTGAAATGTAATTCTACTGCAAAGAAAATAAAGGACCAACCAGTCAAAAGGGTTCTTTGTGGAAAAAGCCGAGATTTTCAGCAGTCTGTGCATTCCTGGAAACTGAATATACAATGTTTTGCAAAATAATTAATATTTTTCAGAACATATTCACATTTCCACTGAAATCAATGTGCTTAATTGGGAATTTATCTGATAGACCAACATGATGTAAAAGTAAAATAAGAATGCTTACTTTTTTATAGAAAGCTTAAAAGAATGGGTTTATGGTACCATTTAATCCCTGTGGTCAGTAACCACCTTTCATTGTCAACTCAGTGAACTGTTTTCCTCAGACACAAATGTAGATCTTTAATCATCTTTACAAAATACCTCCAACTTAGTTACATGGAGCTTTGGCGGCCATGCATTTTCGAGCCTTGCCAGAAATCCTCAACTGGATTTAGGTTTTGACTTGCGCCAGGCCCAGTATCTCATGGATATGCTTGACTGCATCTTAGCTCTGGCTGCATGTTTAGGGTAATTGCCCCAGGGTCACTGCCCCTGTCTTAATGCCTGGGGCAGTTCTCTGGTGTTCTGCCCTGTGCTTAACTCCACTCTTCTTCCCATTCACCTGCTTCATTGTCCTTAATAAAGA